CCCCAAAACCCCAAAACCCCGCTATAAGTATAATTACTATATAAGAGAAATTGTCATAAAGAGAATTAAGAATGATAATTATTACATGCATAAACATTTTAATTGATCAACTTATTTATATTGAGTAGTCAATAGAATCTATGTATACTCTTGGCTTCATCTGGGAAAGTTCCCTCATCTATAAGTTGAGTCCACCATTTCTTAAGCTTGGAGTCTTTCAGCAGTCTAAACCAAGGAGTTACATCTCCTTTTCCATCCTATTGCTTCTTACTTTCTAGAAATTCCTCTATTTCATGAAGACCTACCCAATCTATGGCATGTATTTCATCGGCATTAACATTATTTTTGGGATTCCACTATGATAAATTCTTCTTTGCAAAGATTATGTAATCTAATTCATGCTCAGCAAACTTATCACAGTTATCAGCATAATACAGAATTCTGGATACAACTTTCAGATCTAGATTAGGGTCTAATTCGCTAATACCAAGTTCAAATTTTGATCTTCTGACAGCGGCTCGACGAATACCGATAAAGTCCTGCTCACTAGTAATTTCCTCTGGTATGTGAGCATTATGAGAGCAGCATGTATTAGTCCACATTGAAGGGAAGGTGATTTTTTTATATGATCTTTGCTGTAATAACAATTAGTTCTTTGAGTTGAATAATAGCAATGAGAATGCTCTATGTGGGAATTGAGATTGTGACTATGATTAATTCTGAGTTGGATTTTTCATGTGCGCTTCAATTTTTGAAATGGGACCGATTACATTGTCATTCTCATCTACAAGAGTAATCATGTCGCTCATCTAGTCTATCTAGGTCTGATCGAAATTTAATTCTTTCAAACGACTTGTCAAAACCTAATGAGAAAATTTTTTTCGAGGGGCATTGATCATTTGCCTCAGAGTTTTGCAGTTTTTCATTATATATATTGAATTATAATAATACATTAAAAATATTAATAAATTAATGCAAGCCAAAGATTGGTAAAAGGTATCCGAAACATTCATAGACCATGAAATGCTGAATGATTCCACTGTATCTGAGGATTATGATAATGATCAGTTTTATTAAGCTATTGGAGGAGGATTTGATTTGGCTAGTGAATTTTAAGAAGAATAAAAATTAACAGAGAGTAATTAGCTCTTTGATGAAGAAGAAGGTGTTGCAGATTAACAAATAAAAGAAGAATAAGTCCAACAAATTGTAATGGATGAAGAGTAAAAAGAGCTTTAGGCAGAGCAGTTGTAGCAGTAGTAAGAGAGAATTCGAGTTAAGAAACTGGGCCTTTAAAACTCAGTAAACTTTGACATTATTCTTGGGTCTTTTTCATAGTTTGTTGAGGAATAATAGACTCAGATTAACCAAATGAGGATTAAGACATTTGTCGAAAATAATGTGGTCAATGGGTAATCTGATTACTTTAACTTTGGACTGAATACTACCACTTGGAGAATGTTTGTTAACAAGCAAATACTAATGAGATACGAGAGGCTGTTTATTGAGAAACAGATGAATGAGGTTAAGTAAAGGAAAACAGATTTAGAGAGATAGCTGGCAACTCTAGATGCTGATATTTAGAAAGTTAAAAGAGAACAAGAAAATGTCAAAAATGCAGGTAATGCCTCTGCTGGTTAGGGTAGTAATCCTAGTCATCAATCTTAGCATTAATAAAATGGAGGTAATTAGATGGGCCATAGACCTGATAGAAGAAGAAAGCAAAATCATAACAATCCAGGAATGATGAATCCTTTTGGACCTAATGCTATGATGCCTCCCTTTATGCCCTTCATTCCTCCTCCAATGCCTGGAGGTCAAGTTCCAGGATTAGTGATGCCCGGTATGATGATGCCTGGTTTCGGAATGATGGACCCATCCAGACAAATGGGCCAATAATGAATGAATATTTAATGATATAACCCTTAATTACTTTAAAAACACTTTCTATTCAAATTCTTTTAAAGTCAAATACTTATTAACTTTTAACTTAAACAACTCTCAATTTCTTCTTGAGACTGAGGTCATTTCAAAGTCACCTCTTGACTTTTTGTTGTCTTCAATGTCTATTCCTTCATATCTATCTCTCTCAATATTTAATTAAGCGGTTTCAATTTTAGGAAGTCCTTCTTTTAATTTATGAATTTCTCCTCTTGCATATCCAGTTGATAGTACAGCAATATAGAGTGCTGGGACAATGTATAATAGTGCAGGTTGAGCAGCTTTGAATACCCAAAGACTTACTCCGCAGCATAGAAGTGCTATACTGTATGAAATTATAGCTGAATAGAAATAAGCATTACTCTTTGCAACTTCCGATCCAAATCTGGCCATAAAGCAAACGAATATTCCTGGAATCAATATATCTCCAAGTCCTAATAAAGAACATGCAGTGGTTGGATAACTTGAGGTCAGATGAGGCATAACAATTTTAATAGGAATATCAAGTCCAGTAGCAACTACTACCATAACACTTTTGCCACCAGTAGTAAAATATGGACTCAAGAAAACCCAAAAGATATCATAGAAGAAAAGTAAGCCTAATAAGAGCATTCCTGGCATTAAAGTTGTTAGTCTAATGGTTTTTAGGAAAGTCAAGGCTAGCATAACAGCTAATAGATTGTTTAATAGCCAATTATGAGTAAAATACCATGCTCCTGATAGAATCATTCCTATTAGAGTGCCGATTATTGAAGCATTAGATGCATCACCTAGACACGGCAATTTAACTTCTCTTTTCAAGAAGTCGCTCGATCTTGGCTTGAAAATCTAAAACATCAGCTCTTCTAAAATTATAGAAGCACAACCAGTGCAAGAAACTAGAATTAAAATTTCAAAAATACCCCTGACACTATCCAAGAAGTAGTAAAGTATAAAGAGCATTATACTGGCTGAGCAAAAGAAAAATATTGCTGAGGATAGCTTAAGATCAGTTTATTCCTACTCTTCTTAAGTCATTTGTCCCAACATCTACAAAGGTGGAGTTTTAATAACAATCACTAATACTAGGACTGCAATTCCAAATAAAACAAGGAAGTTAATATCAAAACCTCTAAGTTAGTTGGCATCACATACTACAATAAAATCAAAACTGATTTAATCAGTTCCAGAGCTAATAGTCACCAATAAAGTATCATAGTATTATTTCTGCTTCTACAGGAGCTAATCACAACTGTAGCTAACATCAAATCTTTATTCCTAAGTTACTTAATCTTTTGTTAGCTGAATACTGCTAGGCCCTACATTAGGTCTAACTAATTTACTTGAAGATTAGGCTTTAATATAAAGAAGTTAGTCACTAAACAATGCTTGCTTGTCTTTAGGAACAGTAATCACAAAGTCCTAACTAATAATTTTTTCCTTGGTGAAACTATTTGGTTAATCTTTATAATTTTTCATCTATTTAGAAGCAGGCTAACATGTCTAGGATTTAGCCTCAGGGTCAAAATCTGACATAATCTTCCCATCCTTCATGACTGAGATTCTTTAGAATTCTGTTATTGCTTTCTTCTATTCCACGCCATTATTAGTGCTAGACTATTAATTTGAAATTGCTGGTGGATCAGGTCTCACTTCTGCATAGACTTCAAAGAATGTAAATGGGTTATACTCAGCAAGGAATCTATTGCCACTGCTTAAGGTGATTTCAGACTATTTAGTTAGCTCTAATGTAGATATTGCTAGTCCAATCACTAATAATGGTACACTATGATATTTCATTTTTAGATTTAATTTAAAATAGCAAATCTTAGGAAAATATGATAGCAGCGGGGTTTTGGGGTTTTGGGGTTTTGGGGTTTTGGGG